TTGTTTATCCGTTCATCTCTCCATGGACGCTTATCATTTAACACATTTTCAATGAGCATCTGTTTGCCAGGCCCTGTAATAGGCACAGGTACACACTGGAAAATAAAACAGACATCGTTTCTGCCTTGTGAAGCTTGCAGTCCATTTAGCCAGTCCACGTGGCTATGAGTTGCAACTTCCCTAATGTGAGTCCCTTGGATGTACAGACCATTGCTGGCTCCTTTTGTGGCCCAACATCCCTAGCAGAGCTCTGCACGGAGTTAACGCCTAGTAAAGATGTGTGGAATGGGTGAATGAATGAACCCAAGGAGCACTTGTCAATAGATCAGCTTTATAAATGCATAACTTCTCTTGAAAGCCTTCTCTAGAAGTTTAATCCCCCAGAGAGTATTTGTAGTAGAAGTTACCTCAAAACACAGCATGGATCACTCCGGTTTTTATTACTGAGAGGTTCTTGTTACTCCATAAATCTTGAGTTCCCCCAATGTAAATTGCCACTGAACAAACAGAACAACGACATGGGCATTCTTTTTATCAAGGGCCTAGTATTAAGACAGATTAACTCGGAGGGAACAGCACCGGACTGGGTATCTGCCCCATCCCTCATTCTTATTGTGATTAATGAGATGGGGCACATATTTTTTCTACTCTGCCTGAAAACATATTGAGTTTATGCCTCATCCCACAATGTTAAATATTGTCTTAGAATTACATTATCTCTTACACAGATGGATGGGCCCCGTGCTGTGTGTACTGCTGACAGTTTCTTGAAGTGGAACTAGGATTGGTGAGGGAATCATTCAGCCGTGATTGCAGCTGGAAAGACGCAGAGACCTCCAGTGATACTAGAATAAACAGGTACGCAGTGAATCCCAAAGTGAAGGATTAATGCAAGGATGCAAGATGCTTCAGATCAAGAACCAAGGCAGTAAGAGGTACACATGTCTTTATGGGGGTCAACTAACTAGCAACAATGCCATCTTGAAGAAGTAGAAATCTCAAGGGATTGTGTTTTCATATTTGTAGTTTGAGTGCCTGAGTAAAGACAATAATTATTTTTTAAATGAGCGGATTTATATTTTTCAAACTATTTTTGTATTTACCATTTTATTTTGTTCTTAAACTAACCTTATGAGATAGATAAGTAATACATTATTGTTCCCATTTTACAGGTGAAGAAACTGAGACACAAGTAGCATTATGAGTCACTTGGGTTACCAGGGAGCTGGGATTAATAATCTGGTCTATTGAATTTATATCCAGGGATTGCTCTTCCACTTAATTCATTCATCTTTTCAACAAACAATTCATTGGACAACTAATAAGCTCTATAGTTGATTGTAGGTGAAGGTTAGTGGGGATAGAGAAGGCATCTCTTTCCTCAGGGAAATCAGATCCTACAGAGGATATGAATATGAAAACGATACTACAACAAAGGTTCCAAGAGCAAGAATAGAGGCACACAGAAGTCTGGGAGATGTCCTTTGCTTGGGGAAGCTGGAAAGGCTTTGGGAAGGGGGTGACATGCCCATCAGAGGGGTTTTCTAGGGAGACACTGAGGCTTAAGGATCCCAGCCTGGGGCATGCACACCTATGGGGTTGGGGAGGGGGCCCAGGGGCCTGTGGCCTTGCAGACCCTTGGGCATCACACATCCAGAATGTGCTGTCTAAGGATGGTTGAACTATTCTGGGGGGACAGTGAGTTCCCTGTCACAGGAGAAGTTCAAGTAGACTGGTAAGTTCTTGGCAGGGGGCTTCAAACATCAGCTAGGAGTTGTACTAGATGGCCTAACATCTCCTTCCTCCATGGGTCTCACTCCCCTCAGGTTCTGTTGAGCTTGGGAGGGGCTCCATATTGGGTCGGGCACTCCTGAGATGACTGGAATGCCATTCTGGGTAGAAAAGGTTGAAGACACTGGAACTTGGCCCCTGGCTGTCTGGGGCCCTGTTTGTGGTGGCTGTAGGCTTCAGGGAATTGCTTCGTATGAATAAATAGGTACAAGGCAGCCCAGAGACCTCAGTGGCCACCTCACACATCAGAGCATTCATGGAATGGCAGAGAAATCATCATTGTAAGAGGCCAAAATCAGCACCATTCAGCTCTTCCTATAATATAAGGTGGGTGCTGTTATATTAACAGCATCCCTAAAGAAAACTCAATGAGAGATTGAGGCGATTTCAAATGCAAAAGGGGGGCACATTAATTGAAAAACTAGAAAGTAATTTTGGTTTGGTTCCTCAGCCAGCAGCAGTATCCATTCATGGGGCAAGTGGACATGGAGGAAAACTCAGCCCTCATGTAACGTAAGTGGCTGCAGATGTCGTAATAAAACCCATGTGGACGCAGATGGCAATCCCCGAACTAATGGATTCTGGTTGCTACAGCTTTGTGACCAGCCACCCCAGAGCCAGGCCCTCCCAAGAAGCATCTCTTCTCACCCAGTGACCTTCAGGGTCAGCTTGCCAAGGTGACCATGACCAGGGGAAGGATGTCTCACTAGGTGGGCACAGAGACTCTTAAAAAGTATCTGCCAGAGACAGTTTTCTGGGGGCAGCAGGACATGGTTTCTTTTCCTCATGTACAATTCTCAGATCACGGATCAAGTTTTGGGTATTTGATCCCTTTTTCCAATTCTGCATGCTTCTTGCTTTTCTTCATATTAGTCTGCTAAACAAGTTACAACGAATACCAATTGCTTTTCCTGCTAGATAAAAGCAAGGAGCATGGAATATGACTTCTGGTGGGGTAACAGGAGGTGATTCGAGAATGAGATGCTCATGATGAAGAGGAGATAGAGGTGGTCTCAGGTGTAGACATGGTGAGTCTGTCAGGCGCTAATGCATTGGACTTTTTAGAAAATATGGGACTTGGCTTTAGAAGTTGAGCAGGATTTGGAAGGGACAGATAAGACTGAAAGAATGTTTTGGGTGGGACATTGAGAAAATGGCCCAGCTTATAGCTGAGGAAGCTGCTTAAAGTAAGAGGCAGAAGTGAAATTGGAATCCTTGTAAACTGTTTGTGGGAATGTAAAGTGACACACCACTATGGAAACAGTATGGCAGCTCCTCAAAAAATTAAAAACAGAAATACCATATGGTCCAGCAATTCCAATTCTGGGTATATATCCAAGAAAACTGAAAGCAGGTTCTTGAAGAGCTATTTGTATATCCATGTTCATAGCAACATTATTCACAATAGCCAAAAGGTGAAGGTATTGCAAGTGTCCGCCAACAGATGAATGTATGAACCAAACGTGGTATGTACATACAATGGAATATTATTCAGCATAAAAAAAGAAAGGAAATTCTGACACGTGTTACAACATGGATAAACCTTGAGGACATTATGCAAAGTAAAATAAATCAATCGCAAAAGGACAAATACCAACTGACTCTGCTTATATGAGGTACCTAGAGTAGTCAAATTCACATAGACAGAAAGCTGATTGGTGGTTGCCCATGGCTGGGGTTAGGGGAAATGGAGAATGATTGTTTAATGGATATAGAGTTTCAGTTTAAGATGATGAAAAAGTTTTGGAGATGGATGGTGGTGATGGTTGCACGGCAATGCGAATGTACTTAATACTACTGAACTGTACATTTAAAAATGGTTAAGATGGTAAATTTTATGTGTATTTTACCACTATTAAAAAATTTAAAATTAAAAAAAAGAAGTAAGAAGTGGAATGCCTTCCAGGCCCAAATCAGGGAGGAGCAGGGTTTGACTAAATGATCATTTCTGTGACCTCAGTGCTTGGGACAATACCTGGGGCTTAGGAGGGTTTAGGGTGTGAAGGATGCAGTAACGTGTTGAACCCAAACACATCCAGAGAAGCAGGAGCTTCTCAGAATGGGAGCAGGAAAGGAAGGCTAAGCTGATTGAGTCCTGACTTAAGGTGTCCCCCATAGTACAGAGAAGGGCTGCTGAAGCCACCCAGCTGATGCACCGGAAGGTCTGCTGGCCATGCCACCTGATTATAACCTGATTTTTGGCTGCCGTGCGGATGTGCCTGAAGGCAGAGTATGTACTAATTGGCCAAGGAAGGGATTCACACCAATCATTATATGTTTCATTGAACATTTAAAAATCCCACTTACAGCTTACATATGTCTTTTGTGAGTGTGGTTAGCTTGAGTCCTGAGCTTGTCTGGCCCTGCAAAACCGAAGGTCTCACCTAGACCTTGGGGAATGCACTGAGAAACAGCCACCCTGCAGGGCCCGGCTGGCTTTCTTGAGAGAGTTTCCCCCCATCGCCCATCAGATGTGCGGGGAAGACAGAAAGTACACGCAGTCCCTCGCAGATTGTTCTGGCCTCTACCCTCAGTTAACATCTGTGTGTGGACATGCATTTCCTTTCAGAATCTTGCTACCCAAAATGGTCTTTTCAGAGCAGCAGCAGCAGCAGCTGGGAACTTGTTAGAAATGCAGACTTCCAGCCACATCCCTGACCTGATCCCTGGATCAGAACATGCATTTTACCTGGATCTCCAGGGGACTGCACGACAAATGCTGAGAAGCTTGACTTAGGCCACCTCATTCAGTGTGTCCCAAGTGGGCCCAGTCCCAGGCAGCACCGGGGGGTGCACTGTTAAGGAGATGCCCAGGCTCCCTCCTGAGTGATTCTGATGCAATAGGTGTTTTTACATTAATGGAAAGGAAAAAAGATTAGAAATGGGATGTGAGTAGCGTATGCAGGAACCCTCCTGCGTGGACACACAGGGAAGAGGGAGACCCAAGCCCTGCTCTAAAAATACTCTTGCTTCTGGGACAGCAACACATAGACCACAGTGCCCGTGGTTATGTGTGGAGGCTTCTCTGTGACGGAAGCTTCTAGAGGAAAAGGGAATTGAATTTTCTGAATGTTTATAAGCAACCTGTAGTAAATTTGGGGGTATTCAACATTTAAGTAACAATTCTGGCTTTGACCTTTTCCAGCATTACTGATTTCAGCCTCATCTCTCACGGAAGCATCTTCAACACATCCCTGGCTTCCTCTGACACAGTAAATGCTTATTTTTTTGAAAATGTAGCCAAGATAGAAAGGCTTAAGGAGAACGGGAGTTTTTTCAACCCCGGGGAAGGCTGTTTTAAGCGCAAATTAGATCAGTGAAAGCTTTCTGTACTCACTCGCACAATTCCTTCCAGTCCCTCCTTCTCTCGTTTTTTTTCAATGAATATAAAGTCTGAAATCTGGAAGAAAAGAGCCTTTCTCCCTTCTAGGCAGCTCTCTCACTCTGCGTCCTCATGAATCCTAGGAACTTTTATCATGAATGAATCCTCCTTCTCCCCCGCCCCCAAATTATATAAAAATCAAGGATACATAAATTGGAGTCTACATTTCTTAACATGTCTCTCTTCTTTTGTTGCAATTTATTTCTAATAGAATGTTTTTATAACAACTAAAATAACCTTTTAGGTATGCAATTATCATGCAGACTTTTGGGGCATCAGAGAGCCAGGAAGAACAAAGGTGGGGGTGGAGAGAGACATTTAAAAAGAGAGTGAGAACTAGAGAGGGTGCTTTAGTTACAAGGCCATTGAGACGTAGTTTTTAGATTTAGCGATTGTGATCTGTTTGTGGTTCAGGTTTGGGGATTTGGGACTCAGTACTTTGCAGTCAGAAGAAGACAGACCCAGCAGTGGCTTCGGTTGCCACTCCCTGGTCCAGGACTTTCTGTGGGGTTGTGGGTTTAATGGAAGCAGCTACACAGGGTCTGGGCCATGGTGACCAGTGGAAGTGGCCACAATCCCCTGACATGCTCCTGGCTTCTCTTGTAGGGAAGGGGAAGAAGTCCCAGCAGATGTGGAAAGGCTGGGGGAAGAGCAGAGATGGAAAGCTGACCCTCCTTTCTCTCCTCCCACCTAGGCAATGAGGAAAGCCTGGGGCTCCTTTAATTAACGCCTTCATGTGCTCTGGCAAGTATGAAATGTCCCTGGTAATTGATATTCTTAAAGCCCCTTAAGAGTCCTTGGTGGCAGGTTGCTGCTATTTTAAAGCATAAAAATATTAGTCGAAGGAATCAATCTATGAATAAATCAATATTTGTTTAGCAACCACAATGTGCTTAGCTCACTGTACCAGTTGCAATGGTGTGCAAATTAAGCACAAAACATGCCTCTGACCTCGACCTGTAGGAGGTTGTGTCTATTATACAATGCTTATGAATAGGTTTTAGAACTCAGACCTGAGTTCGAATCCCATTTCTACTGCTTCGGAAAGTTGCTTAATTTTCCTCAATCTTAGTTTTCTTTGTCGTAAGTGGAAGGTAATAATATTTACTTCATAGGTTGTTACAAAGTATGTTCCATATGTACAATATTTGTAATGTGTTTAGTTTATAGTAAAAAATCAATAGCTAGTAGTGAAAGAACAGTCTCTTAGGGGAAATCAGAAACACCTTCACAAAACAATTTGTAAACAAAGACAGCATTGGATGTGGATAGACTAAGGAAACAAAGAGCACAGTGTGGCAACTTCCAGGCATTATCTGATCAGGTGGGATGCTAGAGAGTTATTTTGTAGCCTAGTTTTACAGAGTGAACAGATTGAGTTGAAGTCTCCTGGAAAGTCTTCATGAGGGAGAGGATTCACAAGTCAGGGCCCAGGAGTACCAGCTCCATCTTGTCCAGCTGTATCCGAGCTGTGCCAGTCAGACAAAGGATAGCTAAGGTGCAAACACGTGGGCTTTGGTCCTCTACCTCTCTGCTCACCACCTTATCTCTCACTAGCCCTTCACATTTAAACTCAATGCACTCAGCCTTATAGGCACAGATCACTTCCTCACCTCCTTTCCACTAATTTTACTCTCAGCTCTTTCATCTTCCCACTCTATTCTAGGTATTTTTTAAAAATCAACTTTACTGAGGTATAATTTATGTGCAATAAACAGCAACCATTTAAAGTGTACAAGTGGATGAATTTGAAATAGTTGTTACACCAGGAAACAACAACCACACTCAAAATATAGAAAATGTCCATCATTGCCAATCCCTTCTCCAGCTTCCAAAAAAGTTACCTCGCCTGTTTGCAGTCAATCCTGCCCTATTCCCCAGGCAACTACTTCCCTGCTTTCTGTCACAGTAGATTAGCAGATTAGTTTGCATTTTCTAGAATTATATATAAATGGAATCATGCACTAGGTGGTCTTTGTGTCTGGCTTCTTTCTCTCAGCATAATGATTTTGAGATTCATCTATGTTGTTGTATACATCAGTAGTTCATTTGTTTTTATTGCTGCATAGTGTTCCATAGTATAGATAAACCACAATTTCTCTATCCATTCTCTTATTGATGGACATTTGAGTCATTTCCAGTTTTGGACTATTGTGAATAAAGCTTCTATTAATTTTAATGCGTAAGGTTTTGTGTGGACATATGTTTTTATTCTCTTGGGTAAATATCCAGACTAGGAATGGGATGGCTGGGTTGTGTGACAGGCATATGTCTAATTTTTAAAGAATGCTTTCCGAAGTGGTTATACCATTTTACACTCTCACCAGCAGTATATGAGAGTTCTAGTTCCTTTATATCTTCAACACTTGGTGTGGTTCGTCTTTCTAATTTTAGCAATTCCAATTTTCCTGATGACTAGTAATGTGGAGCATCTTTTCATGTGTTTAATGGCCATTTATATATCTTCTTTTATGCAGTGTCTATTGAAATCTTTTGTCTCATTTCTCAATTGGGTGAGTACAAGTTCTTTATCAGATATGTGTATAGCAAATATTTTCTCCCACACTGTGGCTTGCATTTTCATTTTTAAAATAGAATCTTTTGAAGAGCAAAAGTTTTAAATTTTGATAAATTCCTATTGATCAGCATTTTGTTTTATAGTTTATGCTTTTTGTGTGCTAAGAAAACTTTGCTTACTCAAGTTTGCAAAGATTTTATCTTATGTGTTTCTGTTAGAAATTTTATAGTTTTAATGTTTAGGTTTATGATTCATTATCAGTTAATGTCCTAGACATTTTATTAATAATATACTCCCACAGCTCGAAGACCATGCCAATAACTCCTAGGTATTTTTCTCGAGCCCAGAACTTTCCTCCAAGCTACAAACCCTTGTGTCCACTGTATATCTGCTTGGATATTTACAAGTTTCTAAAAACTCAACATCTCCAAACTCAACTCTTTACTTTCCTCCCCATACTTGTGCCTCCTTTATGTTTGCCTGCTCTAGTTAATGGCCCCAGTCACCCAACTGGTCAAGCTACAAATACCTCCCTCTCTCTCCCACCGGTATCTGATCCATCATGAATCCCGTCCACTGCAACTTGTGCATCTGCAAGTTGGTTCACTTCTCTGTGTACCTCACTCTCTCCCTTCCCCTTGGGCTGCTGTGAAGGTCTGGGGTCTCCATACCCACCCCTACCTCCAATTCACTCTCAGTCCTACCCTTGAACTCTACATCAGCTTTCCTTGGCTCTAGAGGGAAAGATAATGATCCCAAATATTCCTGCTCAGTCATCCACTTATCTTTCCCCCCAGCCTTCTCTCCAGCCAGTCCTCTCTTCTCTTTCAGGCCCCAATGCACATTTTCCCTGATTTCCTCAAAAATTTCTTGAATGAATGAATGGAGTGAGTGCATGAAGACAAAGAGAAGGGCAACCCTGGGTGGGATGAGAAGGGGGTGGGGGTCCATGGGGTAAGACCCTGCCAAGACATGGGGACCAAAGTGGAATCATGTGGTTGTGGGAAACACATTTGTGGATTTTCCTTATGAATTGGGAATCAATAAACAATTTTCTTTCCCCAGTCATGAGGCAGACTACCAATTACAGCGAGGCTTCCATCGCTCTCATCAAATCAACCTGCAACCAGCTTTAGAAACATATGGCAGAATAGTTTCAGCATAAAAGATGCAGATGTAACTTTGAATTCTCTGATTACAGCAGCTTCTTGTTTAAAAGACAATTAAGTGCAGGCATCAAAAGGCACAGGCAAGAGGGGAAATTTCGATTAGAGGAAGATATTTTCATAGGCAATTGGAAAAGAGGGAGATTTTTTCACTTTTCTTTTGGAGCTTTTGGAAATCCTGTTCACACGGCTGAGAAAGGCCAATTCAAGACTGGGTGGGTGGGGCTGAGAAGATATCGGGTCCAGAGACCCCAGTGAGGGCTCGGCTGGGAGAGCTGAGGCAGGGCCCGCGTGCAGTGTCAGCTTCTGCACAGCAGTGGGACGCACGCGGATTAGGCATTCCCAGCTTGCCTTGGTTCACCTAGCAGTACGTTATGTGCACGTCCCTCCTCTTAGTGGTTTGCTGCTCAGTTTCACCTGTGAACAGAATGAAACCACTCCTCTACTAAGTGCACCCTGGGGATTTGTTTGGAGTGTAGCTCAGATTCTACCTCCTGGTTCCCACACCTGCTGTCAGGACGAGGCGCTGGGCAGGGATCAATCATCTCTCCTACTGGCAAAGGTTCTTCTCTCAGTTTTCTCACATGGATACCATACATGGTGAGGCTTTGCATAGGATCCTCCCTCCTAGGTCCCAGTGGTAGCTGAACTAAGAGGGCCCACTGGTAGGCAGTGGAGATGCTGTCTCATGGGGGACATGTAGAGCAGACAGTCTCTTCTGACTGGTATTTGCTCCTGTCCACCTGACATGTCCACCTGACTGGTGGTGGGGAGGAGGAAAGGAGAGGTCATGTCATAGGGTGCAGTGGTCCCTGTGGGCTCAAATCCCAGCCCTGTTCATTACTGGTTGTGTGACTATGAGCAAGTTCAGTCTCTTCATCTGGGAAATGGGGATACTAAGGTCTCCTTGCAGGACTGTTGTGAGGATTATGTGGGTAAAGATAGGTAAAGGCATTTAGAACACTGTCTGGCATGTAGTCAGTGCTATAGAAGTGGTAGCGGTTGTTATCTGCAAGCAATGAGCTGGGTTAGCAGTGAGTACGAGTTGTTTTCTCTCTTCGGTCAGGGATCCCACTGCTTTAGGCTGCCTGGCACAAAACGCATCAGCTACCTTGTCATCATCCACTTCAACTCACAAATAAGCATGACACTACTTTTGAGTTCTAATTGGGAAATATTATTCAGTCACCAAACATTTATTAAATACCTCTTCTGTGTCAGGTACTGTTTTGGATTTTGGGGACACCAAAATGAAAGCACAGTGTATGATTTGATGAAGTTGAGGCTCTAGTGGGAAAAATGGACAGAAGCGGACATGGCTGGTGAGTTTCCATGGGACTGGGGCTGTTACATACAAAAGGCCTTAGGGGCACAGAGAGGAGGGACTCTCAGGGATGGGGGCCCAGGCTGATCTCCTGGAGAAGATGCCACCCTTACGATGCTGATAATTGAACATCTCAGAGCTTCGGGACCTTCGTTATACAACTGATATTTTATTTCTCTTGTGTATCTAATGGATCATTATATCTCTGAACATATATTAAAACAGACTGAATAGATTCAACCAGCTTTTACTGAGGCATTGTGCTAAGAGCTTTCATATACATTAAATCATTTAACCAATTCTCTATGAAGACGTCCAGATTTCTTCAGAAACCAGGGTGCCAGATAGAATAATTTTTTGATGGATGGAGTCCATTACCAGTTTAGGCCATGAGCCCAGGTGATTGAAAAAGCATTAATCAGGCTATTGTCCTGGTGTTGCCACTCATTCCAATTTTTAAACCTTCTGCTACTAATGGAGATATTATCTGATATTATCTGACTCTCCTGATAAAAGAATTAGCTCATCCAATCACCACATGATCATCTGGATTGCAGCTTCGCTTTTCACCAGTTCCTGAATATTGTTTAATTCTTAAACTACAGAGTTGGCTGGCATCTTTTGTTTCTTTGTGCATGGTTTATTTTACCTCCAAAGACTTCTGGCCATGTGATTTGTGCTTAAACCTAGATGTCAGGTGTGCGTGTGATGTATGATGAGAGAGAAAAGGAACCTCTCCTCTCTGTTTCCTCCCTCACCTGCCTTTGTTCTCTTCTGAGATCAACAAGTCAGACTTAGTTTGTCCATCAACTTCCCAAATGTGAGCTTCTTGAAACATCTCACCTAGTTTAAGATCTCACCTACTTCAAGGCCTCCCTAGACGGAAGGAGAATACAACAGGCTTGGGAGGGGCTGCAGGGCCCCCCCAGGCCCCTTCTGTGCAGTCCAGCGGCAGGGAATGAGTCAGAATAGTCATGAGCCTGTCTCTCTGGCACTAACCCCAGGCCCGCTTTAACTAACGCATCTAAATGTTAATGCACACTTAAGACAACAGTGCAGCTCATACTCCTCCCAAATTGATTCATTTTGCAGTGGGCCTGATGCAATTTACTCAGTATAAAAACGTCTCTGGCAATTAGGGGAACAAAGGGGCAAAGCTGGAGAGCGAGAGGGATGACAAACAAAGCAAGACGATGTGAAAGCTGGGGCCAGAATTAAATTTCTTTTTGAATCAGACGGTTTGGGGAATGTCAGTAGCAAATGAGAAAGGCTTTCTCTGCCAGCAAGACAAACTTGAGAATTCTTCATCAGGAAGAAAAGATGCAAAGAGTCTAAGAAATAGTTTCAGTGAAATACGGCAGCAGCCTCCGTGGTTCCTAATGGTGTCAACTCCAGTGGCTGGGGTTCAAGATGTAGAATGCAGCTAGTGAATGAGCGAGCCAAGCCTAAGCTGCCTCAGTGGGTGGAGGTTCCAGATCACAAAGGAACAGGCCTCCTGACCCCTTTGCTGGTAAGATCACATCTGAAGAACACGGCTTTGGAAAATATGCTGTAGAAGAAAGTAAAATCATTTAGCCTGGAAAAACAGTTAAGAGCCAAGAAAACTATCCTCAAAGGGATGAGAAACTGCCTTGTTAGGAGAAAGTTGGCTTGTACTATATGACTCCAGAGGACAAACAGAGGATCAACCAGACAATGGTGAAATAGAAGGAACTACTATATCTTGGGGACTCAAATTATTCCAGGTGCTCTGTATGCATCAGCATTATACTACTTCACAGGGAAATGGTGGTATTAAATGCAATTGTATGCCTGAGTATTAGGAACATGGTAAACACTCAATGCACATTGGCTATCATTGTTTAAAAAGCCTTATCTTCACAAAGATCTCACAAGGCAGGCAGGTATTACCATTCCCATTTTGTGGATGAGACATCAGAGGCTTTGAATAACTATTAATAACCAAATAACTTTTGGAGATATTGAATAACTTTGAGAGACATTCAATAACTTTCTAAGGTTACAAAATCAAGGGGCCATTAGCAAGCTCTTCCTAGGAGCCAAAGCTGCCTTACAATGGGGTGATGTGTTCTGCAAGATGGTGAGCATCCGGCAGGCTGGAGCCGGGAAAGTCAAAGACAGATGAGCTTTGGAAGAGGCTCTTGTACTGGTGTAGGGTGGGGAAAAGTGGTTGAATTCAATTATTTTAAGGTTTTTTTGTTTGTTTGTTTTTGCTTCATGATGCTATGATTCAAATTCTGCTGGCTGGATTATACGTTTAACCCATACATAGTCATGTGCAAATCAGAACTTAGAGAGGCAGCAACAGAAGTCCAAGGAACAAGGACCATGGACATACGGTGAACACAGGAGCTTGTACTTCATCTGAACTCTGACTTTGCCAACCACTAAACTTCCTGGCTCACTTTCCATACACAATGAACCCATGGCCCCCAGCTCCCCAAACCCCAGAGACCATCCTTAAGTTAGATAAGGTGGCAGAGGGTTAATCAAGAAAGTGGACAAAGTGAGAATTTACAGAAATGGAAGTTGTCTGGGGCTATTGAGAGGATGAGCTAACGGGCGCTAGCAGGCTCCCCAGGGAAGGCAAGTGGCCAGTGAGAATAAGGCTGGAAATCTCCAGACAGGAGAGTTGCTCTGAGGCCTGCAGGTAAACATCCAGTAGAATGCTGATTAGAATCTCATGTAGTCACAGAGGGATTTTAGTCTTGGGAGAGAAAAACAAAACCAGGGAGGGAATGTTTAAGGAGCAGTTGGAGAGAAGCCAATTGGAATTCATCCTGGGTTGTCTGAAAAGGTAAAAACTCAGTGGGAGTCAGAGTGGTTAAGTGGTGATGTAAAGACAAGTGCACTAAGGAGAGGGAGGAATTGGAAAAATACCACATAGAAGTCTTAAGCGGAAGAATAGGAAATGCACAGGAAACAACCCAGAACATTGGAGGAACTAACAGGAGCACAGAGAGGCCGTCGGAGAACATGGGCACCATCTCATGTCCAGGGCTCACGGAGGCCAGCACGAGCTCAGCAGTGTGGGATGGTTGGGGCCACAGAGGGAGATGCCCCAGGCTGAGGGCAGTGGTTCTGTCTGGGCTTGGGCAGAAGGAAGTGAGTTGGTGTGGAGGCTGGAGATGGAATTTTTTGGTCAAGAGCTTTCTGGATGTATTATTTTCTTAAAACCATGTCTCAAATTTTCAAAGAGTTTCTAGTCCAATTAATTTGGGGATTTGTTCATTTAATAAGCATTTCTTGAATGCGTACTGTGAATCCAGTGTTGTGCTAGGCACTAGGGATAAAATGACAAATAGTGGCCATCCTACTCTCAGGGAGTCTAAGTGGTGAGAACAACGTGTAAAGGTATGAACGTGGTCTGGTGCCGGAGGGGTGCGAACAGATATGTGGAGCAGGTAACAGGTGCAAGGATGGTGGAATCGACTCTGCTCCGAGTGGGTCTGGGGTCTCAGGAAAGGCCTTGTGGAAGAGGAGCTAAGAGACTCCTTCTGGAAGGAGGAGAAGGGTTGTTCTTGATGGTCAGTGAGGTGGGGGAAGGCACAGGGCATGAAGTGGCTTGCTTCACTTGGAGCAACTGTGAGTAGTTGGACATGAATGAGCTATGGGTCCAAAGAAGGGGTAAGCTGAGCTCAAGAGTGGTGAGGCTCAATCTGGGGCCTCGAATGCGCTGCTAATAGGGACTCAGGCTGGGTGCTGGGTTTGCCAGGGATCCTCTGAAGGATCCCAAGCAGAAGATGAACAGCCTGCAATATCTACCTGCTGGTTCTCTCATCGAGGTCTTGATTTGCTCCACTTGGGGGCTTCCTAATGCCCAGGAAGAGTCACTGAGATTATCACTCTCAAGGACTCAAGGAACATTCAACAGAATTGACAATCAACACAGAACACCAATTTGGTGGCGGCTTCTCCCTTACACCCTTCTAGCAGCAGGGCCCAACTGGAGCAGCACAGCCCGCAGCTCTGTCCTTGGACTTCCCCCATGCACCTGCCATTTGCGCTAAGCTGCCCTGCCGGGTGGAGCAGACCCAGGTCTTCAGGTAACCTGGCACCCGTGGGTGAGTGGTCTCGAGAAACACCCTCCGCCCCGGGGCTCAGCCTGTTCTCAGTGGCCTTCCCCACACATCCTCCTTTTTCTCAGCACCAGGAGACTCATCCGGTGGAGGGGAGGACAATTGTAATTTGAAAGCAGTAGGAACACTCGTCCCTTGCGCTGAGTGTTGTAAGATATTCTCAGGAATAGACATTGCACCAAACCCGCCTGTGGACTGTGAAGCCTTTTAGGTTCGAAATCCCAGGGCTGCTGTGGCTCTTAACTAAGGCTCTGAACCGTAAAAGAATGCATTTCTGTAAAAGCCAGGAGTTAGCTAGGTGCCTGCGTGTGGCACCATAGACAACAAAGGGGAAACAGCGGACTCAGAAGCAGGCCAGGGAACCAGACGGGGCGGGTTAGGCTGAGGCTGGAGTGAGTGAGCATGGAACCGGGTTACCGAGCAGATGGCGGGCGTTCTCCTCCCTTGGCCATCACCACCTGTGGCCTGGACGTTTTCCTTGCAACTGCAAGAGTTGGTGCCCCCATCTCCTGATCCTGTCTCCTCACCACAGACACACTTGGTTCCTGAGGCGAGGGAGACTGGGTTGGGCTGGCGCTTCAGGAGACAGAGGGCAGAGGCCAGCTTCCCCAGGTGGACTCTCCAGGACCTTCCGAAGGGCCGGGCGCAGGTCTCAGCACGACCTGCTCCCCGGAATGGCTGCTTCTGCGGGACAAGGACTTGGGATTTTGTGCTTTACTTTGGGTGGGGAGGATTGCACGTACTCAATAGAAAACATGCTGCTGGATATTTAGCAAGAATAAATAATGGCTAATAATGATAAATAAATAACGGTTTATTCTTGTCAGCTGGTAATAGGGAGGCCTGCAGGGCAGTGGTTGGGAGCATGGGCTGTGGAGCTGGGCTGGCTGGGCTCGGACATAGTCTGCTCCTTACGAGCTGTGTGACCCTGGGCAGGTTACCTGACTTCACTGAGCCTTTGCCTCCTCACAGGAAAGAGATAATCCCAGTGCCTCCCTCACCAAATGGTGGTGGCCATAATATTAAGATGTATTTAGAAACAAAGCACTTAGAACAATATCTGGAACCAGAGAGTAGGCACCAGTGACTCTTCCTCTCTCTCCTCCTCATTATTATTACACAGATTAAGGGGAATGACCGGAGGGAGGTGAGTCCCTATCCAGCAGGCCAGGACCTGGCCGGCCAGCAGCCTCATCCTTTCTCTGTTCCTGCCTGCCTGTAGGAGCCAATAGGGAGAGCACATGGGTCCCTATCGACTGTGGGGAGAGACAGGCTGGTGACTGTACGGCCAGTGCCATGCAGGAAAACCTAAAGGCCTTCTCAGAGAAGGGGACATTGTACCAGGTGCTGAAGAACTTGTGAGGGTCCCTGTCGGGGAAAAGGGGTTAAGGCCCATCCACGAGGAACAACCCACCTCAGCTACTCTTCTTGCCAAGTGGGAGGGAACAACAGGCAACCCTGGAGGCCCGGCTTTGGACACTGGAACCCACCGTGCTGGGGTGAAAAATAATCGCCTACACGGATTGTCCTGGCACTTGGAGTCCTCGTAGGGAAGAAGATACTACCCAAGAGAAAGAGACAGTGAGGAAAGTGCCTGGACACAGGGGGAGGTCTTTTGAGCATTTGTAGCAGGACATTTGCTACAAGAAGAGGTGGTGGGATGGCGGGCTCTGGGGACAGCTCACTGTTTGGAGACTGCCTTTGTGGGAAGGGGATGGGCTTTGTTGCCACACAAACCACATATGCACAAGACTGTGAGCACTTAGAGGGGCTGATAGGGGATGGGGATGGGGGAGTGACAAACCCAGAGGACCACATGGCCACAGCTCATCACCTATATCCTCAGGCTGTCCTTTGCACACGTGCTCTCGGTGTGGGATGTCTTCCTCTCATTGTCCACCTGACCCACTCTCCTCCCCTGCAAAACCAGCTCAAGTTCTCTCCTCAGGGCCACCTTGCCTGATAGCCACCCGCACTCCTGAAGCACCTGTGACAACACCCAGTACACCCCTTTCCCTACAGCATCTCATTGCCTGTTGTCCGACTCTAAACCTTGTTTGAGTCCCTTGAAGGCAGCATGACCCACCAGAGTCCAGCCAGCGCCTGGGACCGAGTAAGATCATAAATGTTTGTTGATAGAATGCATACGTGAATAAATGAATGAATTTCTTGACAGCACCTAAATGCCTCCACCTGTTTTTACTGTCTCCCTCCCCGCTGGGAAATGCCGAGGCTCCATAAACACTTCTGAGAAGAAAAGCGACTGTTTCTATGCATTTTGACTTCTCTTTGTATATAGCATATATTTTTCACTATGAGATTAGCCAAGATGCCATTCTGCCAAGCCACGGGGTTATAGGCATTCACAACTCTCTCATCTTCCAGGTGCTCAGGTGTTTAATCCATCAAATATCCGGGGCAGAGTGGGAAAAAGAAAGCAACCAGCTCAAAAGAGCCCTACTACAAGACTTCGGCTGTCAAATCTTGAAGGTCAAAACTGGCAGAAGCTGATGGTCTTTTCTTTTTTTTTTTTTTTTTAATGCCCATCAATGAAAGCAATCGTGAGTAAAAGTTGTACCTGCCAGGAAAGGAATTGTCCTTTGTACTTAGTGGCAACCTTCACAGTTGAGGTGCACTTTGACAGTTGCTTCCTGAGCCCCGGGGAGGATCATACATCTATCCCTGGGCATGGGTGGAGGGCAGGGAGAAAATACCTTTCCTTTTTCTGTCAACTGGAGACTCTTCTGTGATCTCAGACTGGGTTTTAAGTTTTACACCTAGAGTTTAGGCTTAAGAAGAGTTGTGTCATAGAACTGCTTTATTTTTATTTTTATTTTGAGACAGAGTCTCACTCTGTCGCCCTGGGTAGTGTGCAGTGGCATCATCGTAGCTCACTGCAACCTCAAACTCCTGGGATCAGCAATCCTTCTGCCTCAGCCTCCTGAGTAGCTGGTACTGCAGGTGTGTGTGCCACAATGCCTGGCTAATTTTTCTATCTTTAGTAGAGACAGGGTCTCGCTTTTGCTCAGGCTGGTCTTGAACTCCTGAGCTCCAGCAATCCTCCCGCCTCAGCCTCCCAGAGTGCTAGGATTACAGGCGTGAGCCACCTGGCCAGAACAGCTTTAAATTGATCTAGTATCATCCACCTAACACACAACACCTGCCATGTGCTAGGCACTGTGTCAGGTGTCGCAGGGAAGAAAAAGGCGAATAACCCTAGGTCTCCATCTTCAAGGCTTGTGGCCCAGAATGAGATGACCAAAGATTAGAGTCATCCTCTTGAGAAGGACTTGACAGCCCTTATTTTCCTCAGAGCCAGACATGATGCCAGGGTTCAACTGCAAGGCCTTCTTGGGGAAACAACACGAGAAAAGAGATGGGGAAGACATGTGTTTCCCTGAACCTCTCTGAGATTCAGTTTACCTGTTGGTAAGAGGAGGAGAATAATATGTATGGCACAGATTGTAGTAAAACATGAAATAAGTTGATGGGTGTTGAGGCACCTGGTAAACTGAACGCGCACTATACAGACATTTGCCATGAATAGTAACAACGTAGTATCCGACTCCTGAGAACAAAAAGGAAGACTTGGCTTTGTTGTTGACCTAGATGAGAGTCAGTGTGCAACATTCTCAAGTACAAAGAGGGTGGATGGATGGCTGGATGGATGGATGGGAGGATATATGGATGGATGAATGGATAGGTGGATGGAAGAATGGGATAGAGATTCCCTCTGACTCTAAAAGGTCTGGCTTCTCTCTAGACCACTCTGTATTCTTCTCAGTCCCCCTTGGCTTTGAAAGCCACAGTCGTTCCGGAGAGAGAATAACAGATGTGTTGTGCATATACCCCCCTGCGGAGGCCAGTCACGTTCATGGTCTTGGCTACGCCCCAGCTGCTCCAGCTTAGGGGCTGCACGGGCAGGACTGGGCCAGGGTTGGGAGCCTTGCCACTGACCTGTCCACTCATGAGTGGGGGAGAAATGACCCTCCACCCTGCACACAAGTCCATCTCATGTCTGTAAGTTTTTTCATGTTTCTTCTTAGTGCTTAGTAAATGGTTATGCAAAGCTACCTGCTTATGTGATCAACCAATTCAAGCTGAGATGTTAGCCTTGATTCTTGATTTTGATACATACCAGAACACCTGTGAGGCTTTCTAAAAATACGTATGTTCACCACCTACCGCAAGATGAATAATAGCAGAACGGCTCGGGATGGCACTCAGTTGCATGAATGTTAAATGTGCAGTTCTAATTTGTGCCACCAAAGCTTGAGACCTACCATGGTGATGGCTGAAAGTCCAGTTCCTCCAGAGAGGACTTGCATTTTAGTAACTGCTTTAATGTTACTACTCAAAGGGGTGAGGAATATGGTAAACACAGGAATTGGTACTTTGGGGTCCAACTTAGAGAACACACGTGGTCACTCTGAGAACGAGGGTGTGAAATCTCTAACCCTGGCTCTCCTCTGCCCACTCCCCCACAGTCCTGGGCAGCCTGGAAGAAGGGTGGCCCTGGACCCTTTAGAGGGACAGCTGGGAGGCAGGGGAGGGGACTATTAGCATCTGCTCTGCACATTATCTAATTTAAATCCAAGACAGCCCTATGAAGCGGCACAATTGTTACCCTTTTACACAGCTGAGGCTCGCAGAGATTCAGAGACCCGCCCAAGCTCCTACTGTGTGTTGGGGGTTGTTACCTCCAGGAACACTTAGATCCCGAGTCTTATGGCCACCCTGTACCCAGAGAACACTGAGCTACACAAGTGTCCTGTACCAAGGTAGCCAGGAAATATACCCCTGACAGGCTTAGGTGTGCATTTTAAGGCTTTTAAAAATTATCTTTAAAGCCTTTGAATGGCTCTCTCTTTTTAGTGTAAATCACCCAGACATTAAAGCCCTTATTGTATATTTATTAGTGTGTTATTCAGACCAAGGGGAAAAAGAGAGAAGCTGACACTATGAGTGACTTTGAAAGCGAGGAAAACGTAGGCCTGAAATTAAATCATTGTGACACTGCCACTCGAGGGCATCAATTTCAATAAATGATCACCTTTTTTATTCCAGATCCCCGTTCATCACGCAGGCAGGATTCGAGGAGAACTTTTGGCTGTGGATGCTGAATGCCACAGGCTCTGATTTCCCAAGCTGGCAAGACGTACCACGTTGCCCTGAGCCCACTGAAGTTCAACCCAGCACAGCCTGGGGAAAGCAATCAGGTTTCCTTTCAGCAGCAAATGCCTTGTGGCATCTTTCTACATGTGCCCTCCCCTGACCATCTCTCCTGTCTTTTTACGAGAACATTCAGGGTTCTGCGCATTAGCAGTAGAAAGTGTCTGTGGATCAGTAGGGAGTAATGGTCCTCTGTGCCAAACCAGGAAGGCCCAAAGAGCAGGAGTCTGGGGTGAGGAGAACTATTTCCTGCTGCCCCCGTCCTGGGTGGCATCTGGAGACCGGCCCGCTGGCATTGCAGGGGCTGCAGAGGGGAGCAGAGTGCAGCCACCATCTCTGTGGTAGAAGCTGAGAGGCTGAGGCTGGGAAGGGCTGTGGTTGTTCATAACCGTGCTGCCAATAGTGGTGGAATCAGGCCTGAAACCGCACCTCCCGATGGGCACAAATCAATATCCCCTGGAGTTAAATTACTTTGGCACATCTCCTATTAGGATGGTTACTGGTTTTAAAGCTGGAATCTTTGGTCAGAAGTGACTGCCTTAACCAAGCGTGGCAGCTGTGTGGCTACCCAGCACGGACACCGGGTGTTCTCCACTAGGGGAGTGCAGTTGCAGGTTTTAATCTAAGGGCAGTGGGTTTGAGGGTTTCCTGATGCTGCTACGTGGTCTCCCGGCTGTGTAGCAGGGAGACACACAGGAGAGGGCACTGGCGGGCTCCGGAGTGCCATCGTGGAGACGAGCCCTGGCTTTGCCACGAGCCTGCAGTTTGACCTTGATCACATCACGTCATCCCTCTAGGCTCCAGCTTTCCCATCGGGAAACCGATGGGTGGGGGGCGGGGAGATAAACTCAAGTATCCTCTGGGTCTAGGGGTTAAGGGCCTGCAGAAAGGTGAGGCTTTTCGCCAAGGAGAATTTCAGTTCTCTACCACCCTCTGGAATGAGGCTTGTTTGCACTTTGAAATGCCCCTGGTAGCTTATCTTGGCTCAAGCCTGAGTATCACCAAATCCTTTAGCTATACAATTTCTTTTCAAGTATTAGTAATTCAGACGATTGGCAACTTCTATCCCCTCAGGGCCCAATTCTTCCCTCCACACACTGTGTAGTTCTGGTCACACATAATAGAGTCCCCAGACACCCGCGCCTGCAGGAGAAAGCTGCGTGCTTGGAGGGGAAATGAGACATGAGACAGACTTCTCTGGGCAGGAGCCTGGGGAGTTTTTCCTACGGCCCGAAACACCATGGACCCTTAAGCTTGTGTCCCTGTGTCCAGGAGGGCACTGGTTCCACACAGCCAGTTGCTTCTGGATCGATCTTTCTGAAAGGCAGCAGAAAGGCAGGGTGGTGCGGTGGGTGGCCCACTAGGCAGAAGCAGGCCCTGGCTGCCCGCCCTGGCCCTGCCGCTGGCCATCTTAGTCTTTAGTATCAATTCAAAGACATCTACAGAGGTGTGTGCTGTTGCTATTTTGCTTGTGTCTTCCTTACTGAACTAGATGTTCCTCGAAAGCCATGACCTTGACCTTGTCGTCCTCAGCTGTGCCATCTTTGGCGCCTACTAAATGAGAGGCGCTCAGTCCATGGCTGTTCAGTGAATGTACGAACTGAGAAAGATCTAATGTTTATTAAGTACCTACTACCATCAGGCACAATGAGAGCCATTTTCCTTATGTCATTTCCCAACTCATCACACGCAATGGGTATCATATTCATTCAGCCCATGGGGACTTTGTGGCCACTAATTTCTAGCTAAGATGTCCAAAGCCTATTTGATTCAGTGGCTAGCGGGCCTGGGCTGTTTGACAGCCCTGGTTTCTCTGCTTCCTTGCTTCTGTGGTCATTCTGGCCAGGTGGATGAGCAGGCCAGCTAATCCGTCTGTCCCCTGAGAGACCCCTGCCAAAGCCAGGCTGACTGGCAGACGCGGCCGCTCAGGCTCTGTGATTCATTAGACCTCACACACTCTGCTGCTTTCCAGGCGACCAGGAAGGGAGCAGCTGCTGTGATCCCCCGACCGCCTTTTTCCTGCCTCTGAGCGCTTGCAAGCGGGCGGCTGCTCCCGCAGGACAGCACAACAGCCGCACCATGTGCTCACGACTCAGTGGTTTCCGGGGGACCCAGCGGCGTCTGCCTTGTCACTCCTCAGCCCACTCCTCTGAGTCAGGCTCTCCCCAGCCGACTTTATTATTACAACTTCCTGCCTTGTCACTACAAACAACGAATGCTGTTTTCCAAACAGAGGTCCCCAAACCACCATCTTCTGTTATGAGAGTGAGCCAGCCCCGCTTGTAATCATCACAGTCGACATGGCTAGGATATCACCGTGCCCCCTCGCTGCTCTGAGCCGCTATGAGGTCATCTCTGACATGAAAAGGGATGAGCTTTCCATGAGGCAAACTGCTGAATATCTCAAACTGAAAGATTCTAGAGACTGGCAACGACCCCGTAATCAGAGAGCAGACAAATCTCCATCCTTTGTGATCCCCAACTCTGAGCAGAGCAAAGCAGATTAGGATATTAAATAACAGCCTCTTATGTTGGCGTTATGCTCAGAGTGTGCAAAACCCTTCCTTCCTTTATTGCATCGACCCCACAACAGTATATGGGCAGGGCTGGAATGTCAGCCCCACTTTACAGATGGGAAACAGAGGCTTGAGGGGGGATAGGATTTGCCTGAAGCCAGAGAGCTCGTTCATGGAGTGTCCTTGGGGGAGGGGCTGTTTTGTATGCCAGCACCTCTAGGGTCCTAACAAATGGGACGTACTCAAAAAATGCTCATCGATCTGTCAATGGAATGGTGAACTAGGACTTAAATTCAGGGCTTTCAATTCCCAGTATAAAAACATTTCTGCTGCACTACCACGGCCTAGTTGAACTCTTACAGCAAGGGATGAAAATAGCCTGAAGCCAGGCTGGCCAGGTTCTGACCCTCTCCACCTTGTTCAGCCTGTGACCTCGGGCAGGTTGTCTGACCTCACTGAGTTTCCTCATCTGTACAATGGGAGAGAATAACAGTAACCTGATGCATTGTGATATTGTGCATGTTCAATAAGAAAATGCCCGTAAAGTGCACAGCAGCGAATGGCCAGTAGGTCTAGGAAGTGCTAAATATTAATAAGTGTGAGCAATAATTATTATTACTCAAGTGCAGGGACTGGGCCTCACATACCTTTGTAACCCAGGACCTAATACGGTGAGTGGCGCAGATGCATGACTGCAGACGCGGCACTGGCCCACCAAGCATGGAGCCCATCATGGGATTCGGAGCAAGTCCCTTCCCCTCCTGGGCTTCAGTTCCCACACCTGTAAATCCAGGAGGCTGAACCAGGTAAATCCCACGGTTCCTTCCAGCTCTAAAATGTTCCATCTAGTTCAGTGGTTTTCGATGGGGATGATTTTGCCTCTCAGGGGACATTTGGCAATGTCTGGAGACATTTTTGATTGTCACAACGGGGGAAGGGGTAACTGTCTGTAGGTGGCAGAGGCCTGGGATGCTGGGACAATGCACAGGCTGGGCCCCCAAGAACTGTTCTGTCTACAGTGGCCATCATGCTGAGGCTGAGACACTAGCTCCATACACACACCCAGGGCTCTTTCATTTGCTGGGCAGGTGCCTGGCGTCTTACAGCTTGCCAAGGTACCCAGGGGAGCAGTGCCTCGGCGTGTTGGGGAGTCTATTGATGGCCCCTTCAGCTGCCACCTTCCACCCTCACCACATTGATCTCCTTGGAGAGGGGAGGCTGGCCCAGGCATCTTTAAATTAAATTTGGAATCACTCCTGCTCACACTAAACTCCTCAATGGCTCTGCCAGGGCTGGGGGAGAACATTTTCCTGCCCGAGGTGCACAAAGCTCCAGCCTAAGACGAAGCCTTTGTGGACAGACGTAGGGGAGGGGCAGTCCCAGGCAAAGCCATCAAGTCACTGGATTTGCCCCGCTTAATCTCACTCCCTCTAGAGGGCAGAGCAGAGTCGCCTTGGAAAGAGGGTGCAGCTTGCAGCAGCTTGCAGTTCTTTTAAGGCCAGCAGAGTGGACCTTGAGACCTGTGGCCATGGTCATGGCCTGCCCACACCCCCTTGTCCTCACCACCCACAGAGGGAAGACTGCCCCGGTGGCACCAACATTGCATTCCCCCCAGCTGATCTGTCTTGAGGGACCAAAGAATCTAAATCATCTTTTTTTTTTTTTTTTTACAAGGTTCTTTCATCTTCCCTCTTCTCATTCCCAAACCCACCTGTTTTTCTCTGAGTTTTTTCTGAGAGAACAAACGAGGAGAAAGGAGACCTAGAGTTCAGTTTGGAACAAGTCCGTTCCTATGTCAACTCTCTGCCTCAGTTTTCTCATCTGTTAAATGGGGATTCACTTGGTAGTTACGAGCACAGGAAAGTAAAGAGGGAAAAACCCTTTATATGCCCCTGAGGACAATCATGCCCAAGGGCGTACTTGCTTCCTTGCCATGCTGCTTAGGAGCCCAGAGACCAAGAGTCTGGTACCAGGGAAACAGGCACCGCCAGGCAGGAGGAGCTGAAACCCCCGGGCACCTCTCCTCCCACACTCGTGGATATTCTCAGCCTGCCCTTCAGGGAGATCCCCAACAGCCCAAGCAGCACTCCCTGGTTTCCGCCAGGCCTGGTGGGAAGGAGTGCTGAGAGCATAAGTCAGAATAAGCAGCTCACCAGGTTGGGCAAATGCCTACAGGATGGCGCCACAGCCCCACCCGCAGACGGGAGGCCTTCCCACCCGGGCTCCTGGCTGGAAAGGGAGGTTGTGCTGGAGGGAGGAGTGGTACCAGAGGACAGCTCCTCCCAAAGAGTGTGCAGCCCAGACACCCAACACTCCTGACACCTGGTGAGCAGAACAAGAGGCACTTGGTGGCTGGGACCCTCCCAGCCAGCCTGAAGAGGCTTCCAGAGGCAAAAAGACAGAATATGAGGGATGGGGAGAGCATTCTTCCTGGTGCCAAGATGTCCATCTTACTGGGAATGCAGCAGCTTGCAGTTTTTTAAGCACAATTAAATACAAATGGCTTTGTAGGGGGAATGGGAAGGAGGCCCCACAGCCTTACTGGCTCTCATCCGTACACCGTGGGGATGGAAGTTGGGTAACAGTCATCATTCAGGTGGGTCCCCTCTGTAAAGGTATTTTCTTAGAGAGAAGCTAAGTCTAAGCATAGCCACACATTTGGCTCCTATAAACATGTCATGAAGGAGCCCTCACCCTTATTGATAATGTAAGCAGATCCAGGGCCCCTCAAAGCTACTGTCATAGGAGAGCACCTATACTTACGGAATGGGGAAAAGGAAGGCAAGGGATGCCCTAGTTTAAGTTTGCTTTCCATTGTCACTACTTATAGAGCAGCGGCCCCCAACCTTTTTTGCACCAGGGACCATTTTCATGGAAGACAATTTTTCCACGGACTGGCATGGGGAAGGATGGGTTCAGGATGATTCAAGCGCATTACATTTATTGTGTACTTTATTTCTATTATTATCACATTGTAATATATAATGAAATAATTACACAATTCACCATAGGTTGGGGACCCCTGGTGCAGAGGCCTGAGGGATTGCTGAGTGAGCAAGTGTATCCAGAAAGCTTAGAGGATCTCACTGTCCCATACCTTGGAATTTCTAGGACAAAGGTCTGTTCCACTCTCTTTTAAATTGATATTGGTGTAGTATCCCTGACTAATTCTGCTCTGGGGTCCCATACTTCCATAGCATCTGCTTGGGTGGCCAAAATATTTTGTCCTTTCCCTTCCTGCCCAAGTTCTGCTGGTAAAACATAGCTTCCAGCATATTAAATTACTTTACTTTTGGCCTTTTGACACTTCCCTTGGGCTGTTTTCTTCTTGGCTCTGTCTGAACTTTGGGAAATGAATATTTTTAACACCCACTCATTAAATGCCCACTCTGACAGCTGGTCCTCTGGCCTCTGGAAGGACCACTAGCCAGGTGGTCAGAGGGACCCACAAATCAATACCTGAAACTACCCAGGGAATATTAGCAGTAATGGCTCAATCTGGACCTACCCATTAAATGACAATTGTGAATTTTAAGTAGATGTCACAGACTCTGGAAATTTGCAGCCAAAAGTCAAATTACCTTTTATCAAATAAGTTCTGGGCATGGGGAACGACTTACCCATGCTTCCCTGGAGTGGGCACCAGGACGATCTCTCTTCCGGCCTCGTTGTGGGGCAGCAGCCGGGCGACGTACCGCCCCGAGGGCTGCAGGTGCCTGTGCACAGAGACGGCCAGCGTGCAGCGCTCACTGCTGCTCCGCATCCAGGGGCTCAGGATGGTGTGCTTAGAGTCTGCTGAGGTGTTGAGGAGGAGGAAGGAGCCTGGAAAGAGACAGGGAAAGTGCATCTGCAGATGTGTCCAGGCAAGAGGACCAGAAGCAGCTCTGTGGCCAGACTTAGAGACCAAGAGCATCAAAGTCAGGGATGTTTTCTGTTTCTTCTCTGCCCACACCCAGCCCTCTTCCTCCTGTCCTAGATTTTCTTGTAAATAGCATGGCCTGATGCAGATGGATGGTGACTGGGGACAAAGGCCCTGTAACCAGACAGAACAAGGTCCTAACCTCAGTTCCCTGTGTCCTGGCTCTATGTCCTTGAGCCTCAAGCTTTTCATCTGTAAAACAGGAATAAAAACATCTATTTCAAGAGACTCTTGCTCCTTTGCTTACTACTTGAATGATCTTGGGCAAAGCATGAACTTTCCTAGGTTTCAGTTTCCTCTTTTACAAAATGGGGTGAGAAGGGTTGGCTGAACTCAATAATCTCTTAAGATCCATTTCAGCTCTTGAGTCTATGAGTCATGTGAATTTGCAACTGGTCTCCACAAAGAAAGCCCTACAAATCCCCCGACGCCCCCACCGGTGCCATGCCAGTGGCAGTTTCCCTCTAGGGCAAGCCAACCCGGGTTCCAGTAGCACAGGCCAAATGACCTAGAAGAGACCGACATTCATGGGAATTACTGTCAGCGTAAAAGCACAGCACCATTTTATTGTTCCAGGCATTCCCTCTGATGCATCAATTTTATTTGCTGCACTTCCACATTGAGGTTTTGGACCACTAGATGCTGCTCCTTTTTCAATGGAAACCTATTCCAACAAAATGCCCAACTTCCCCAGTGGGGACCAGCTAATGGGTGCTCAGACTTCTTGAGCTATCCCTGGCGTTAGAAGGTCTTCCACAGACAACTTGGTTTACCAAATAGGTAAGTGAACCAGCAGCCTGCAATAAAGAACAACATGGTGAAAGAGGGGGATTCCTACCAGAAGCAAAGCATTTTTCGAGAAGAAGTTCTTGTGCCAGGAATTGGAGATTTGCAATATTCTTCAGATAGGTAAAAGTGACTTCCGGTTAAAATCAGGATGAAGGGAACACAAGACTGTCCCTGAGCGGGACAAGCAACGGGAACCCTCTGTGCTTGTTGGGAAGTTTCAGCATGGCATATGGGCCTATGCAAAGTACTCTACAGCCCTCAGTAAATAATCTATATTATTATCCTATTTACAATGGGGGAAATGTTCTTGTCATGGGCACTGGGAAAAGGAAAGGAATTAGAACCAAAGACATAGAATTGGGAAGATCGTCTAATACAGTCCTCTTGCTTCCCTAGAGAAGCAGACTGGGGAATCAGATGCAGAATGACTTGTCTAAAGACTTCAGGTCTGAACTTGGGGAAATGAATATCTTTACCACCCATGAACCAGACATAGTTCTGGCCTTCAAGGAACTCCTCGTCTACCAAGTGTAAAAGTAGAGGTTATAAAGTCAGAACACGCATACAGGTAAAGCACTTTGGGAAGCCCCAGAAAGGAAACAGTGGGTTCAGGTGGAAGAGTCATAAAGGAGTGGCCTTTGAGCTAGTTCTTATGGTGAGAGAAAAATACGTTGGCAGAACTGACCTTGCAGAAGTTGAGGGGAAGAGGAGTAAAGACATCAAGGTAGAAAATGTTTGGCTAAAGAGTGGTACACATGGAGAGAAGGCTGGGAAATGAGGAATGCCAGGGTGGTAGGCGGTGGGAATAGACCATAGAGAGCATTGCGTTCCTGGCTGAAGATTTCCAACTTTATTTTGGGGATAATAGGGAGCCAGATATTTTGAGCAGGACAGTGACACCATCGGAGTGGTGCTTCAGGAGGATTGATCTGGTATGGTGGGGAAAGTGGGATTAATATTGACCCAGCCTCATCCTACTCTAACAGTCCACACTAGGGCAAGGAAGTGGCTAAATGTAAGTTCCAGGTGTTTGCTATGTCACTCTTGTAGCAAAGGCAACATGTTGGGGGTGGGCTGGGATTTCTAGTACCAGGTTACGGTGTATCTGGCCAGAGCAGGTAAGGGTCCTGGAAGTATTTCTGGATGCTCTGGCCTCTAAAAGGACCATTAGCCAGGATGGCAGAGGCAGCCACAGATAAATACCTGAGATGCTACCCAGGGAATATTGGCAGTAATGGCTCAATCTGGACCTACCCATTAAAGGACAATTCTAAGTTTTAAGTAGATGTCACAGACTCTGGAAATTTGCAGCCCAAAGTCAAATCACCTTGCTCTGGCACAGAGTCCTGCTCCAGACTCTTTGGGGTATGGTCTGGGTTAGGATGAAGCCAATCCCATGTCCTGTGACAATTTACACATAAGAGAGCAGCAACTGTGCCTTGGTCTGAGACCTTTCTCTGATGTGTTCCAGTTGGTAGAACGATGAGTAGAAACCAGGATTTTTTTGTAGCTACCAAAGGGAAGAATGTGGGCACACTGAAGGAGGTGTCCCCCTCCTTCTCAGAAAGAGGGAACCTCAAAAATCAAGCTGAAGGTGTTAGGGTGTCGGGGCCCGGGGCTCTTTTTGTGTCACTGGTCCTCCAGCCCAGGTGTGGCAACACATGGAAATTCTATTCCCATAATCTGGCACCTCAATAATGAGACTCTTTCAGAGCTGACTGGAAGATAGATTATTTTTCCAGTTCTAATATGTGAGATGATATTTATATGAATTTTATTTTCTGCAACCGGACTGTCAATAAGACACTGAGCTTAAAGTATTTTCACTCTCAATGAAACTCTATAGTTGAGAGCTATCTCTTCATCAGCGGCTTTCCTCCACCAAAAAAAAAGGAAAAAAAATACATTTCATAAGCTCCTTGGGATATTGTCAGTATAAATCTTTTAAAGTCAGTAAGAATTTATCTCTCCTCTCCCTCTTTTCTGTTTCCTGTTTATTTTGCTCGGGATAGCTTGGGGTGAGGCGAAGGCTCCCGGGGTCCTTTCTCATTACGGAGGACGGCCTGGCAGCACACAGACCTTCGCCCAGGGGGCCATGGGGAGTGGAGACGCAGATCAAAGAGCCCTGCTTACGCGGTGCTGGCACTGTGCTTCTGCTATCATTGGATCATGTTGATGTGTGCAATGATTAAATATGAAATGGGTATTATTTCTACCTCCGCTCACCAACACAGGGATGTGCTGCTCTCATCTCAACCAGCAAAGCTCCAATTAGAGGCCAGCAACCAAGCATCATGAACCCAGAGGTCAGACAGATTCTTTCGGATGTGACCAGCTATAGTATAGGCCTTAGACAAATTATTTAAACTCTTTAAATCTTAGTTTGCTCAAGTTTAATATGGGCATAGCCCACCTCCTGCGGCTGTAGTGAAGATTATATTAAATAACATGCGTCACGTGGGCAGTACAGCGGCTGCCCATAGCAGGCACGTCATAAATGTCATTTCCCTGCTTTGAGGGGTGTCTTAGTCTGGAATTTCTTTGATCTAGCACTAAACTTGGAATCAGAAGGACTGAATTGAGCCCTAGCTCTGCTGCTACCAAGCTTCCTTTGTTTATAAAATGAAAGGGTTGGAAAGAATCTCTAAGGATTCTTATAGCTCCAAACTGTCAGTAATTCTATCTGCCTGCCTAGAATATTATTAATCTAAAGGAACTGAGTCAAATCTCCAAGCCCCCAAGTCCTAAACTCTTCTTCTCCTAATTCGCCTCTCTGAGGGTTATATACTAACAGTTTCAATCAATTGAGCAAACACTCTGTGAACTTTGCTAAGAAGTAAACTGTAATTCCCTGTCCTGCCTTCCTTTCTCCCAGTTTACACAAATACATCCCTGGGAAGGGCTCCTGTTCTAGCATCAGCTGTTTTTGTAGATGCTACTGCTAGAAGGCTGGTACCAGCTCTATCTGGTGTGTAACACAATGCTTGCCACATGGCAGATACTCAATGATCCTTAAAATCAAAATAATATGTACATATGGCAAGCAATCAAATATATACATACGGCGAGGAATCCAATAATAATAAATTTTTAAAGAACTAACCCTAAACCTTGCTCCCCCCAACCAAGTCCCCCACATTGGAAGGAACATTTTTAAGGATTTGTAATTTCTTTAGGTGCTGCCTTCATAATCCTAAATATTATGATCATAGTGTTATCTGTGGATGCAACAACTCTGGACTTTTTACATTGACGGTTCAATAAGAAAAATGATACTACCTCTCTTCCAGTTCTTAATTTTTTTAAATCTTGATTTTTAAAAGTCACCATTTTTTAATTGCTTACATTTTTAACTTTACATGATCCATTTATTACTTGTCCATTTAGCTTCAGACAGCATCGCTGGATCTCACTGTGGAAAGAGGCTACTGGTCTTCCTGCCTCTCCTCGTCCTTTTCCTCTGCCACATGCACCCCCCAGACCAGCTGTACTTTGCTTTGCCTTGTCAAAGTTGTGTAGGAATGATTAAGTCTTTGCGGTTCTGTTTACAGGTTGATGCTAAACGTTGAAAATCAATAAATAGACCTCTTATACTGATGGCTATATATTTTTTCACTGTAAGGAATAGGGTTATATTTATAATCTTCTCTATAGATCCAATAATATTAATACATCCCACGCCAAGGAGAATGTTTCGAGAATCAGGACCAAATGAATTCTCTCTCTCTGCTCCACACCCCTCTCCTTCCCCATCCCTTGCTTTTTGCATTGTGACTTGTCAAAATTGTGGCACAATTAAATTTGCCTTATATTTGAATCAGGATTTTCTCACGTTGTTTTTCCAGAAATGTTTGTTTTTCTCTTGTATTTATTTTATACCTGCCTTCTTCACCATATCACTGACACCCTATAGGCTCCTTGAGAAATCAGTCCCTTTTTCTTGAAGACACTGACTTCCTTTTTTAATTTGTACCAGTTGCTTTCTGGGCCTTCTCTACAAGGATTATTCTGGAATTTCTTTTCACGGGGACTTTATGTTAGTCCCACCATCCTCAGAAAACTTCCTCAGGGGGCCATTTCTCTGTGAATCTTTGAATATCTGAAATATTTTTAT